CCCATTACCACACCCATCCCCTTCCGTGCATCGACACCAGAGGCCCAGTCGGAGGGTAGCCAGCTAGACTCCGCTCTGTACTAAGTAAATGACAGTGTGGTGCCATAGTGCATCGCCTGTACCATCCCTGAACGATGTGTATGTACCAAACACAACATAACACACAGTTGTGTGTGTGTTATGCGCGTATATCCGTTCAAATATACTATGTAATGTCCTGCGTTGCGTCCTGCATTGACCCACTCCTGCGCATTTCATCACGCCCCTCCTACCATCGCACTGATCAGCGGTCCCCAGACACACACACCATAGCAACTTGGCATCGTCACGTCAAGCGTGCTTCACTCAGTGCAGCTAATTAGGTGACAGCCACACCGTTTGTGTATAAGCGTACTGCACGTGCCGTAGTAGACTATACCTACAGCTTTGGGCTCAAGTGCTGCCATGTGTCATTGTACTGGCCACACCATCATGCGCGACTCAGGGGACCTTAGTGCAGTTACGAACAACGCGATAGCTCAATCACATCGACATACACTTAGGGTCAAGACTAAACATTGCGGCACCCTCGAGGTGTGCGGGTACGCGCCTCTATATCAAGGCGTACTTGTGAGGAGACAGCTAGAGCGTGGCCGCATGTTGTACCTACAACCTGTAGCAAGTAGGCATACATGCTAAATAATTTGCATGGGACTGCGAGACGCACGCTTCAGATATTCTCTGCGTTATACGGTACCCTGATAAGGTACGAAGGGGTGCATGGAGGAGCAGTCCAGAGTTTGGATGCTGCTGTGAGAAGCATGCTAGAATTATGAATGGTGCCTGAAGGGGCATGTTTGGGCTGGACGAGCGTTAGTGTTTGCCCAACCTCGCTTGATAGTCCTCCGTGACTTCTTCATACTCGTCTGGGCGCATAAAAAACGTTGCACTGTTTGCCACCAGGTATCTGAAAGGGTGTATTATATTCACAAATATCAGAAGTACAGACATTGCAGAGTCATGTATGCCTATTCGCAAGAATATATATATATATATATATATATATATATATACATATATATATATTTTATAAGTATATATATATATATACATATATATACATATATATATATATATATATATATATATATATATATATATATATATATATATATATATATATATATATATATATATATATATATATATATATATATATATATATATATGTATACATATGTATATATATATATATATATATATATATATATATATATATATATATATATAT